CCCTGCGCTGCGCGGGAAACCCGGCGGTGCGGGGCTCTCCTGCTGCCGCTTGCGGGCCGCACCCCGTTTGGCAGCCGAAATTTGCTTTAAAGCAAGCCACAGTGACTTCCTTGGCCCTTAAAAAGGGGTACCTGGCCAGCATAGTGCACTGTGTTAAAAATTAATTGCTGGGTTGTTTTAATGTAAGGAAAGCTGTCTGCTAACGTAGTCCTTTTACTTACCTCTGGAATTTTCAAACCAGTAATGAAACCTCCTTCTTACTGTCTGTGTTTGCTGTACATGGGCAGGATAAAGGGTATGGTAGGGACTCTGAAAGCTCTGCCCAAAAACTTGGTGATTAGACATTGAGAACTGGTAACTGTGGTGGTAATGAGAAGGGAGAAGATCCTGAGGAGAGATGAGAGGGAACAAATTCAAATCACGCTTAAAAGAAAGTGTCCCTTACATACCACTAAAGTGGATTTCTGGAAAACAGTTTCCAGTTCCACATGTATTCACGGCCTTCTCCTCTTTCCAACCTGACCTCAAAGAAGATTGCTTCTGTTTAGTCTGTGTCAACATGAATTTTGATGGGATCTAAACTATGTGGGAACTGAAAAGGATGCCTCCTATGTGGATATCAATTTCCTTCAATTAATTGTTGATAGCCACCTATGTGACTTGTTCCTTTTAGGCCAATTTAGTTGTTCCTGTTGAAAACATGAGAAGCAACCAAGGACTGTCTGAACCAGCCAGAAAACTCCTGTCAGGGAACTAAGTAAAAGCAGAGGATGAGCTTCATTTGAAATTTATAGTAAACTGAGAATTTTCCTGTGAAAAATTAAGTTAAGTTGTTTAGATTCATGAGCTTCTAAATTAAATACATCAGATTTAGTGCTTTGAAGTGATTTTTTTTCCCTTTAATCTCCCTAACTCTCATAAAGTGACTAGATAATCTCCCATTTATTACAACGTAAGGCGTAGTTGAAATACACGATACAGTTTATTTCTGCAAAGTGTGAAAGTGCATTTTAAATGATTTTAAAACTGCTAGCATAACCAAAAAAACCCAATTTTATTTATATTCTTTTGGGTATTTCAGTGAGAAACAGATGGCTTTAAAGCACAGCTTTCACATGCAGCGTCCTGCCAACTTAAATGGCAAGAATTTTACATCCTGACTCGTAACTGGGGCCACATCATGTTCTCTTCAAGACTCCCTGTGCTGCTTTATTCAGCAGAAGGATTCCCCTCCAGAAATCATCCTTCAGTTGTTACATTGGGGAATTAAAGTGTACAGTAGCTTACGTACGGAGATACCTTACAGGAACTGTAGGCCTTCAATTCTTTTTGGGTAGCAAATAAAACCTTGCATATGCCCACGGTGACATTATGGAACTATGGGGAATATATTGTTTCTAAGCAGTGGTGGAAGTCTTTCTGAGTAGGAAAACAATATTGTAAATAGCAAGGTATTTTTTTATAAAATTGTAATATTAATACACAAAGCTTGGACTTAGAGACTTGGTTTAGATACTGTTGAAACAGAATGAAGAATTCACCGGGATGAGGGAATTGAGCTGAAGTTGATTATGCTTATGTTTAATTTTATTCAAAATATAATAGCCATATGCCTAGTACATTGGACTGAAAATAAGAATTCTGGCATGTTTGGAAGTCTTCCACAAAGGCTGGAAAATATTCCGTAAACATGCATGTTTTCAACACCCTGTTTCTTTGTATACAATAATATTACTTTAGAAGTGCATCCTGGATATCATGAACTTTGCTGTGGTGAAAACAGGACAGGTAGGTTCACAGTAGCTGAGCAAGAGTGGCGAGGTCTGAGCCATGTCTGTGATTCAGGGTTGTTGGTAGGCATTAGTGCTGGCTTAAGTGGCATGCTCATATGGGAATATTGGCTCTTACAATAAGTGATATTAAGCAAACAAAGTGAGTTTTGGTGTAATAGGGAATAAGGTAAAAAATAAGTAGCAACAACCTACATGTGATTACCTTGCTTAAACATAGGTAACAAATATATATTTGTGTCATAATGCACTATACCAATGATAAGGAGCATCTACATTCTCTTTGTTCACATTGCGCATTTGATTTTTTCCAAATATATTGACATATAAAGTAACCTTTTTACAGTGTTGTTACCTTATCACTTCAGAGTTCTAGAGATTTTTTGAGTAAGAATTTCACTTCTCAACTGGATAATTTTCTTCTTAACATTGTTCTTATACAACTTGGACAAGCAGGAAGATATTTCAGGAAACATCAGGAACACTTACTTGTTTGTTTAGGGGGGGGAGAGAGAGAGGTAGAAGGTAGAAAAGCTGTCAAGTTTACAGAAATAACCGCTTTCTAAGTCTACAGGCCAAGATTTTCGAGGCATGTATGATTCTGTGTGTTGCCACTCTAGGTGCCAAACTTGAAAATGCAGAGATTTAATATCTTGGAGAGTTTCAAGATAGATACCTAGAATCAGGCATTATTTAGACTGAAAACCATTGTCATGAGTTGTACTGTTTTAATATTTGAAGTACTTTTTTAAAAAATGTGAAGTACATGATTCAGACAGTTCTATCCTGAGTTTATAAATAAAGACTTGTTGCTTTCTGTGTTAGTCAAGTTCTTAATTTTAGAGTATTTCAAAATGCTGTAATTCAATTAGGAAAATTTTACTTTGGGCTAATACTGAAGTAGTGGCTAGAGTACATTTCTGTCATTAATTTACTGTATTTGTTTCTGAAATCATCATGAAAGAAGTACTATTTAAAAAAAAACATCTTGTGATTCTGATTTTATTTTTATAGCAGTGTGATGAGTAGAAGATTTTGCTGAACTGGTTTGTGCTTGCACAAGCTGCTAGAAGTAGAAGTAGTATGACTACATGTGGTTAGTGGACTTTAAATAGTAACCATGGACTACAAAATGCTCAGTTTTGAATTTAACTGTCAATGCAGAAGCCAGGGCTTTTAAACTTTCTAGTCTCTAAAGTCTATGTACCAAACCTAATTTTGAAAACACTTTGCAATTTAGTTGTGCATTTACAATGGAGTAACAGTAGTTTATTAATTCTAAAACCTGAAATGATGCATACCCATCTTAATGCATTATAATAATTATTTTAATTTACAATAGTTTTATGCAGTAATTTATTTCTGACATTTCTAGCGTTTATCTCCTTTAATATATATACACTCCTATTATGTTATTTTACTAATCTTATTTAAAAAGGGAACATTACATATTGAATACTGTACCTCAATTTTATTGTAATGATTTTGCTGGTTACCAGGTGGGGTGGCAGTTGAAAAATTTGGTGAATGCACTACGAGAGGATCCGAGTGGTGTTATCTTAACTTTGAAAAAGCGACCTCAGAGCATGCTTACCTCAGCACCAGCTTTACTGAAAAATATGAGATGGAAGCCCCTTGCTCTGCAGGTAATGAAGCTTAATCATAAGTCATACACCATCATTGTAACTATAGATTATCTCAATGATGCTTTATTGTGCTTCATCTCAGCAGCATATGGATTTACTCTTGTATATTTTGAAAAATTGTTTCTGAAATGATTTCTCTGAAGTTTGTTCTCATAGGCTCAATTGAAATTAAACCTGTTCGTAAACCTTTTCAAAGTTAAGAAGTAATTGTCCCAGTGTTTTACAATGCAAAAAAGTAGCCCCAGATAACGTTTCTAGCCAAGGGGAAACAAGCGTACCTCAGAAACTGATAAATTTTAGTTTGACTTCTTGTTAATCTCTCCGTGCAATATAACCTCAAAGAAAGAGGAGAGGAGATGATCTTGAGTTCTCAGTTTGATCAATCATGGAGTTATAGGAAAAATTCTAAGGTGGTTTTATTTAGTAAACCACTTGACCATCAAAATTTCCTCATGTAAATGAAGTCATATTTGTGTCAAAGTTGTCCATGAGATTGAAAACTTGCACATAAGGTGTAGTGCAGGATGTCCAGCTGGGCTTTTAGTTTTAGTAAGCCTGCATTGTGCTGAAAATCATGGAATGGTTTCATTAAAGCTTTCATGTTTAACTCTAGGATAAAATATCACTGTGATGGATTACTCTAGGAAATAAAAGTTATGTCCAGACTGATGAAAGCATGTAACCAACAGATGGAACTGACAAATAATCTCCTTTTTCATCCAGTTCAGCTAGAGCAATGTTTAGAAATCTATTTTCTTTGCATAAAGAATGCATTCTTTGGGATATTTTTATTATTGCAATAAAAAGTCTAATTTAAAATTAGGTACATTTGAGAGAGAAAAGACTTCTGCAAAGTTTGGGCAAAAGGAAAATGAGATATGGAAATACCACTGCCAGTAGCTGTGGTCTTTACCATTTAAAATATTCAGAGATTAATGAAAAGAACTAAGGCCATGAAGAACATATTTCAAATATGTGTATATATCTATATAAAAATTATTTTATAACAGTTGAATGCATCATTGTCTTTGAAACTGAGTAAGTTTTTAAATGATTGAGATGTCTTGGTTTTTCAGATACAAAGAACTTACTAGACATGTGACAAAAAAATTTCAACCAAAAATATCTTATTAGCGTCTAAACATAAAATTGCAAATCTGTATGCATGATATGTGTGTGTGAATGTCCATACTTGAAGGCTGCGTTTTTATCGTAGCTTTAGTGAGAATATAAATACAAATGAAAAATGCACATCATTGCTTTAAATGGGGTAAAATGCTTTGTCTAAATCCTCTTTGGGTGAGTGTGGTATTTCTTTGGGTGAATTGGGTCATTCTCCTAAATATTCCTTTTTGTTTCACTTTATAATTTGCTGCTAGAATAATTACACTGAAGACCCCACAACAGAAGTTTCTCACATGGGCCGTTAATGCAGACAAGAGCAAATAAGCAATTAATTCAAGATAGGCTACTCCAAAAGAGTGGGAAGAAATTGGACAGAAACCAATTTCCACCATTTAAACTAAGTTCAGTAGGAAAGTGAGGACTAGTGTGATCCTTTTACAGTGAATGCAGTCATGAGCTAAAGTTGTGGGCCTGCTTGAAACCCCACACTCACTTCCAGAAGCAAAAGCCCGGTCATCTTGTAGTGTGTTTTGGCTCCGATTTACATCTCAGTCCTTAGTTCAATACAGATACTAGGGTGTTACTCACATGATCTAACTTTAGATACCTGCTAGGTAAATATCTGCATATCATTCAGGTTTCTCATTTTTACTCTCTTTGGCCAGTGGATATACATAAGTTACTGGTTCATTCATCGTGGCCTATTTTAGACTGACCTACCTCAGGATGAGGTGAATTGGACCCTCTCTGTCTCCCTTTGATGGTGAAGGGTGTCTGGACAGCTAGCTTGAATGTAGGTTATCTGTGTTAGATAAGATTAGACTGACCCTAGATAGAGGTTTTCTGTAGTCTTACAGGTTTGGGGAGGGGGACTAATGGTTTTGATGTGGTTTTCTTGCTGATAGCTTAGAAAATATTAATATTTTTAAGGCTAATATGAGTACAAATAGATATATTGTTAAACATTAGAGATATAATTCTGGTATCATGATGATACTGTTCTGATTTTATCAAACATGACACCAGGAAAAGGCCAGAACCTCATTCAGCACTTACGTGTGCAGTGCGCATATGTGTGTCTGTTGTAATTTATGATTTTAATGTGAGAAACAACAGTTTTCTTAAGTAGACAGTATCGAAAAAGCTCCAGGGTGAAAACAAACCTCAGAAGCTGCATAATGTGGAGATTTCTGTTGTTAATTTATGCAGATCAGAACTGAACAGATGTTAAAGTCAGCTGATGTTAAAGTTTAAATGTAGCCTAAGTGTGAAATAGGTACTATATGTTTGATTAATAACAAGCAGTGAAAGCAGAGTGCAGTGTAATTTTGTAGCTATTAAAAATATGAAGAAATCATGTTTATTTAAAGAATTTACTTCAAAAATTTCTGAAAAAAATATTTGGAAAAACTGTAAGTTTTGTAATTGCAATTTGCCCTATGGCTGTTCTGAAATTTCTTATGTTCCCGATTCACATAAGGGTGCTGTTCTTTAATAGGAGCTTGGGAGGTAATGTGAGAGGAGAGAGGGAAAGTGATAGCAAATAGCAAAAAAACACATAAGGAAAAGCTGTACTCCCATCACCTTTGGAAGCAGGGGAAATTATGATAACTTGTTTTCCTATATCAGGATGTCATGAAATAATTAAGAATGTTATAACTCTGCTGTCATCCCAGAGCTAAGTTAATTGAACAATATGTATTATTCAACAGACACAAGCTATAGGGAAACTGTGACTCAGTAATAACTCTGTTAAACTACAAAATACGAGCAAAATATTCAAAAGACTCTAAAATAACATATGAGCATGAAATTCTGATAAAATGGGAATTAGGATCTGCAAACTGGCCACTGTAGTTTTTTCGATTCTGCGAATGGAGTGGACAGAGGAAAAATGTGATGTGACATCCTAATCAAATTGCAGTGAGTGAGGTGGGGAGGTGGAAGTTTTCCCTAATGCAGGGAGGCTGACACAAAAGCAGAGACTCAATTTTTGTATGCACCCCACCAATGAAGATATTTAACAGCTGTTGCAGTGAATATAGAAGGAGAATAATTCAGTGAATTCAGTTAAGAGACTCATTTACATTGGGATGTTTTAATTGAGAGTCTTCAAAACCTAATTTTAGTTGAAAGTGAATAATGTTGAGGCCTTATTGGTAAATTGCATTCTGCTTGTTTAGTCAAGAATTTGCGTATAAGAACATGAAGTTTGCCACCTGCAGCTGCATGAAAAACTACACTTAATGGAGAGATACTAAGTGTACCTGTAAGCTGGGAAAGTCCTAGATGAGTCTTCCAGTTCAGGCACTCAAGCAGTTTGGTGTGCGAGTGACAGGGCATCCTGGTAATTAAATTACGCATTCTGATAATGACATTTTTCAGAGCTTGCAGTCCACTGTTAGTGATCTAGATTAGCCATATGTCAGCCAAATGTTATGGTCTCCAATTGTGGAAAATGCTTTTAGATCATTCAGACATTAACTGGTTGTTAGTTGGCATAAATATTTCTTAGGGTGTTCAGTGGTTTACTTTGAACAGCTCTGCCTTCACATTGCAGTCTTGCCATGAATTAGGAGTTAAATGCAGTCTACATAATTATTAATTCTTTGGGTTTTTTTTTTTTCCTTTTAGCAGAAATGCGGTATAGTCATTCTTTTCACAAATATCCTTAGAATAAATACGGAAGATTAGGGGAAAGAAAGAAGGAAGAATTCTGCATCCTATGTAGCATTCCTGAAACTGATATTGAATGGCTTCATGTACAGTAAAATAATACAATTAGCCTATGGCTATGCTATGCACCATTACATAATGAGTTTGTATTTACAAGTGCATTAACTCCAGCTCTCCTGTCAGTACAGAAAGAAAAACATCCTTTTTTTCCCCTTGTGTCGTGATTAAAGGAAATGCTGGTTGGTTTTTTTTTTTGTTGATTTTCAGTCACTTGGTGATTGTCTGTTTTAATATCCATCAGTATCCAACTTCTTGCAGATAATCAAAGTTCTCCCTTGATGCATTCTGGAATTGTGTCCAAATTCGTTAAGTCAAGGGATTTTTCAGCCTTTGTTTTTCGTTATTGCCTTTATAACATTTGAATTAGGCAACTGTGGCCTTGGGGAATTTTGTGGTTGCCTTTGCAATTGAAGGTAGTCATTAAGATGGTATTGTACCATAAATATTAAGATGTTATGCCTGCAAGACAAATCTCACTAAATTTGCCTTTCAGTTACTTTTTCTGGTACTCTGATCCGTTGCGTGAAAGCCTAGAATGATATTGCAGACTGCAATGTTTGTATTTCTGACTGCTACTGAATGTGGTGAACAAACCAATTAAGTTTAACTTTTAATTTTTTTATTTTTCATACTTGACGTAGAGGTGCAATTATCTTTGAACTCTCCAAATTTTTGTCTGGTTCAAAACCTAACTTAAATAAATGTCCTGTCCTCGAGATTGTCTGTTTTATTTCTCCTTTCCACTTTGTGTTATTTTGGGGAGGTTTCAAAGGGAGGCTCCCCAAGGTGTTGTTTGAACAAGAGTGGAAGGTCCAATAGAGAAGATTCTCGGAGCATATGAAATCTTATGTAAGTCGCTATCATCATGCTAGCAAGAAGCTAGCTGCAAAGTCCTCCTCGGCCTTCTGGAGAATGCTTGGTTAATTAGTAAAAAGAAATTGGACTTTGACTGCAGTGTGGAAGACTCTTCATCCAGTTTCTTTTTAGTACAGAAAAGGAATGGTAGAGCAACATGGTGCCATGCTTCGGCTAATTTGGACTCCACCCACCGATATCAGTGAAAAGGCTCTTTCTGATGTCAGTGAGGCTGGGGGCAGGTCCAGCTGCCAGCCACATCTTGTGTGTTGACTTGGAAAAAA